ATCATCCAAACATCATGGGCTGCTCATGTGTGATTTATACTACATTTACAACTGCTATTGATGTGATAAGAAGTTGATTCCGGGATATGTAATTCATGGTTCCATCTATCATTGTGTGACATGAATATTAAAGGAGACAATGCAATATTTTTGTTGTAAGAAATCTATATATATATATTTGACAGCACACAAATGTTTGATTTATACTGAAAATATTGATGGTTAAAAGATGATTCTGGGATTTGTAATTCATGGTGCCATCTATCATTGTGTAAAGTACATGAATATTAAAGAACAATGCAATATTTTTGTTGTAAGAAATCTATATATATTTGACAACACACAAATGTTTGATTTATACTGAAACTATTGATGGTTAAAAGATGATTCTGGGATTTGTAATTCATGGTGCTATCTATCACTTCATAAAAGACGTGGATATTAAAGAGACAATGCAATATTTTTGTTGTAAGAAATCTATAAATTTAACGACACACAAAAGTGTAAGGAGTTCAGTACTTACGGTATATTAAGATACACAAAAATAGATGCAATAATTCTAACATAGGTACCAGTGTTAACACTACCATTTCTAAGATCATAAACCTACCATAAATTCATTTTTTTATTTATTTATTTCAATTTAAATTTTGGGGTTGAAATTCTAAAAGTTTTTGCAATGTGTGTCAAGAGGAACCTTTTTGAAGAAAAGGCAAACTTTCAGAATGTTGTGAAAGTTGATCTGTGTTGGTAGTAATTGTAGTAAAATGTTGAACTTTATTCCAACACACAATTTACAGAGAGATCACGTGTTTGTTACTCTTGTGAGATCACGTTGTGAAGTGATTGGTCATTAATTATCCTGATGATGGCGACAGTGGTCGCTGAAAATTTGATGTCTCTGTAAACTGTGTGTTGGAGTAAAGTTCAACATTTTACTATAAAACCTTCAGAATGTTGAGAAAAGGTTATTCAAGGACATGTCATCATGATTCAGACAGCTTTCCACCCAAATTTAATCAAACCTGGTGTGTTCAGCCCATGGCCTTGGTCCTCACTTTGAAGGCCATGGTCAACAGAGTGCCATGAGTCACTGGGAATTGGATTGAAATGTACGGAATATTCCCAGGCGGAATTTTCTGATGACTTGTATTGACCAGAGATCCATTCCGGGAGTTGTTGACGTCATTGGGAAGGGAAATGTTCGTCCCGCGAAGGTAATAAAGGCTGGAGCAGATCAGATAGATGGGATGCCTGGAGCAGGATTCCTCTTTTCTGCGTGGAAAAATCCATTTAAGGCTAGAGTTGGGTACTAAGAAATATATTTTAGGTGCAGGTTTGAAATCCCAAGTGCCATTTATGTAACTCTAGCATCAGTGAATATAAGATAACACTCAAAATTGATGAATTCTGACAAAAAGAAGCAGTTTAGGTATAAACTTGAACTACAGGAAAAGGACATTGAAATCGGCTGTACATTCTTTGATTTGAGAATGTCCTTTGAAATCCCAAAGGTCCAAATAAACAAAATTCTGTTGACTGTTTCTGTCATCTTTCAAGACCACACATGGGCTCTTTGTCAAACTGTTTGGGTACAAAACATATATAATGCTTTCAACTTGCTGTAGTTGCAGAAAATGTATATTGAAGAAAAAAATTGTTTCTAAGAAACCAAGAGGTCCCGGGTTCGAGTCCTGACATGCCATTGATCTTGTGCCCTTGGGAAAGGCACTTTACACAACTTCCCCCACTAAACTCAAGTGAAAATGAGTATTGTCTGTCCAGTATTCGTTTCTGTGTTTGGGGCATAACACCAGCAACAGCTGCCTGTGTCCCATGTGTATTGCACTGTTGCAATTTCAATAATTAAGATAAATAAAAATAAAAATAAACCAGAAAGTTGGTGTTACACAATCCACTCACAAGACAGTTACGCAAACAGCACTCTATAAAGGTGTTTATTCCATCGGCTATACCGGATAATCACATTAAGTGGCCATTACGAAGATTAAGTCATTAAAAATTCATCCCCCAGCTCAAGGAGAATTCTCCGTCTCCGATTGACATGTGGTCGTTTATTGATCGGAGCCATTAAGACTTGATCGAAGATCTCGCCTGGCCTAATCGTGCCCGTATATGAAATATCAGATCTGTAATTGCTTTAGATATCGGTGATCTATAACTATTAAGATATCTCGGGTTAAGGGAAATTGTGCGGTGGTTTTTATGTGAGGATTACGGTGATATATGGATTGAGTTTCGTGGCCGAAATCGCTCGGGCCCGGCCGTTTGTCCACCATAAGGCCATATTGACGTGATTTTATGCATGAAATTCTCTGGATACTGCAAAATGGATGCTATTGGCGTTTAAAAAGGTGACATTGATTCAGACCTCTAGCTGGAAGATTTTCATGGCATGATACTACCGTTTTAATGTATCACTACAGGGCTCAAAATACAGGGTGCATGTGTACTTTAGAGCACCCAAATTAGAGCTGTGCGCCCAAATATTTTCATAGGTTGACATATATAGAAATGTTCAATGTATAGTAGTATACAGCATATGCAGTACTAGTAGATTGATTAAAAGTTCAAAATTCATTGTTTAAATATTAACCCAGCCTTTTGTGTTGACTTCATGGCTCCTTGTGTTGACTTCGAGGCCTCATAGGATGCCTAGACCTGTTTTTATCTAATTTTTTTTTTGCCCTTTTGCTTCATATTTTTTCTGAAAAAAATCAGAGAACCAACAAATTAAATTGGTGTGGCCAAACCCTGACTCCACAGTTCCAGTGCCACTCCATCACAGTGAAGTGTAGGTGGATGGTTAATGCAGCCATCAATTCTATCAGTGCGCGGCAGTACTCCATAAGATAACACCAGTGTCCATTAGTTCTACCCTACTTAATAGAGTTACCGGCCTGGAGAGGAAATATTACCAGCGGCAAAATGATCCATCTTCACACAACTCAGTTTATTAACTGAAGGACTCCTGGCCACACAAGCAAAGGATACACATAATCCTCCATGTAATTGTAAGAATCTCTTAGCTGGTCCTTGATTTATTCTCCATCAAAGAGTTTAAAACAAACTGCTCTGCAGTTCCAGAACAAGCTGCTAGGGGGCCCAAACTCCAGTCACTTTTTACCTAGCCCAAAAGCTATCTACTATCTAAAATTCGTCACCCCAGTATGTCAAGATCATGAGATATCAAAACTGGACGTTCTGCTGCTATACCAAGGAAAGCTGCCAGATGGTCCAGTTTTCATTTCAAAACTTAACAGAAAAACGTATTGAGTTGGAATGGCCAGTCTTGTATATAAAAAGGGCATATTGCAGATTTGATAGACTTTCTTGGACCTATAACAGGTGGTTGATGTCATCAGGTGTAGAATTGTACAAACCTTTATTTTACCACCATGTCAAAGTGGTTAGGTTTGCCCACACACAGTTAGGACTTCATCTGTGTGTGTCAGACCAGCAGAACTGTTTATAGTAACAACCTGAACCTGTTAAAGGGAGAGTTGACAGGTACAACTGTGCCTTGTCTGTGGACACTCAAGTGGTTAAAGTTGACTTTATGTGGTTCTGTGGTGTGTGTATATAAATGTTGTAGGTTCCCAGTGCTGAGGAAAGAGTCTCATGTAACATCTAAACATGTATAACTTATAACATGGTGGTCTTAGGCTAGAGTAGTTGGCTTAGGATATCTCTTGTATTAGTTAGGTTAGCCTTATGAAAATGTAGTTAATGTGTATAAGTCGATCACTGTAGATGCCGTACTTTGTACCCTGTACAACTGTTGTTATCCTCATGTTGATAGGGGAGCCTATAGGGACCTGACGTTGTCTAGGCTCAGGTGGTACATTTAGTCTGATGTGTGATTTGTTTCACGACTGCTGAAGGCTCTATAATATTGATTCATTCACACACTTGAGACACGGCCTTTCCTTTTCAATTCCAAATGTGCCTCAGGTTTTCTTGCCTCTTCTTCAAATGAGTACATTTTGTAAAATAACTAGAGACAATTAGAAAAGCGCCTGAGGTTTTCTTTGCTTCTTCAAATGACTAAAATAACTAGAGCATTTCTTTTTCAATTCCAAATGTGCCTCAGGTTTTCTTCAAAGGAAATAAAGACCTGAAGCAGGAAAACTACTGTACATTCTTTCCTTTTCAATTCCAATAATATTCCTGAAGTTTTTTTGCTTCTTCTTCAAATGAGCATAACTTAAAGGCTAAGAAAATAATATGCGGCTTCCGAGGTGATACTAATTTGATTAATATAAACCTTTTTATTATACCTTTAATAAAACCTGAGTTGAAAAATTGTATCGGATGCTCCGACTGTTGATTAAGCTCCATGATCCTTTCTTAATCTGGTTGATGCAAAGGGAATCAATTGTCTATAAATTCTTCTTCTTTAAGTGCTTTTCTAACGAAGATAAAGATGCTTTTAATTCCACAGCAGGAGGCCATTATGTATTAGTTAAGTCATTGACGTATTGGGTCGAAAGATTGAATGAGGATTTTCGGGTACAATGTATTTCTGGTTCCTTTGCAGATGAGTATGGATTTTGTGTGTGGATATAAATTAATGATTCACTTTTACTTAGTTTTAGGATGAAAACTTTGAGTTGAAGGGATCGAAATACTTTTCAAGCATACCTACACCAGACAAATTTTACCAGCACCACTCAGAATTTAGGAAGTATGGATCATACTAAGAACTGTTCAGAACTTCAGAAACCGTTGCCATTATTTCTTCATAGATGGTAACATTACAATCAATGCAACAATTAAAACTCCACATTACACGTCTTGTATTAATACAAACCCAGTACAGGTTATAATTAGGTACAGGTAGACATCAGAAATACCTGCACAACTCCATGGCCAGTTTTACCTGCACTAACCTGCATATGCAGGCAGTATTTGACAAGTAAATTATTTGTGTATTGATAATGCTGACATTGTGCCTTCCTTTTTTTGTGTCCCTCCAGGGAAGAAGTGTCGGAACACTGTGTCAGATGGAACAACAAGTTCAAGTTTGCCTGTAAGATGATGGCCAACGCTGCCACAGGCATCCTGGACCCTTGCATCTGTAGGGTATCTGTCAGAAAGGTCAGATATTACGTATTTGTTTTCTTCTTCAGCATTTATCAGAGTTTACTATAATGCTGAAAATAAGCCATGTCAAAGTCCAGAACTTGCACACTTCTGTATAGCCGGTATAATGCTCCTCGGCGTAACACACCAGCTTTGCAGGCACGCGGTGCGGCAGCAGTTGATTATAGTACACCAAACAACTTGTTAATTCTCCTTCTTCTTCTTCACGTAGAATTTTAGATTCTAAGATTAGGACAGTTTTAGACAGATTTGAAAACATGGAAATTTTCGTGCAAAAAAACAATTGGGCACCAATAATTCTTTTTAAAACGTGAATTCCAGCAACAATATAATAGCCATTCACATTTCCCCCCAAGTTTCGTTATTTCCCAGAAATATGTAGACAATGTCTTCTGTGCATAATTGTTCATGCATGGAAAACTCCCAGATATTTAAACCATTTAAATCTATCCTATTCTTCCCACTTCTCTGAATCCGATTGCTTGTTTGGATATCATGTGACTTCTTGGAAGCTCTAACAGGAATGAAACTTGTCAAACCTGTTTGAACCATGTAGGATGAGGGACCTTGCATAATATTTTCTGTAACTATTTAGTTCCTCCTACTACAGAATGAAACCACCAAGAAAGTTTTGCAATTTACAGGAGATCTACATTATTTCCTGGATTCCAATAGAACACTTAGAAACCAAACACACATAACGACTATAACAATACAAACCACAATGTATTTATCACACTTTATTCAATAAACATTTTTCCAGGTTTAAAAAAATTGATTCAAAAGTTCCAAACATTTCTCTGTTAACAGACTAGGCTGTTTAGCAGGTAAAAAATTAAAGGAGTGAAGCAGAGCTAGAATAGGAAGCCAGGCCAGAAAATGCTTTGACGGCCCCACAAAGAGCTGTTTCAATCAATACACAGCTGTTTTAAAGCACCAGTGTTGTGTAATCACCACTTGTAACTTACTGCTGTTTTAGTAAGTGCAGGTGCTCCACTTCAGAAGTACAAGTAGGGACTTTTCTCTACACAAAGGAAAGAAGGGTGTGGTGCATGTTTTCTAGCAGTGCTTTTAACTTCAAACCCTGTCCACTGAATCAATTTATATCATAGACATGGTTTGGCATTCTGTTTGGTGCTACTTCATGCCAAGTCTGGACCAAAAGAAAAGAGGGTGTGGTGACAACACAACACGAGAATTCTATCCTGTTCTTTCCACTTCAAACACTTCAAACTTCCCTTTACTGTACCAACACTGTATTGACAATGTACCAAATGATCTGCTTCCTTTTGTATGGAAAAAACAACATTACCAAAGGTACAATGTACAGGAGCATGTTGGCAGAACGTACTGCACCTGCACGAAACCTGTAATGTATTGTGCATAGCACTTTGACAGAACGTCTCATATAAGGTCGCATTCGTGTATATAAGGTCAACATATCCTGTCTGTAGTTTCCAAATGTTATGTCGGAAAACATATCTTCCGCAACAGCCAAAATTCTGATGCAACGTTGACCAGACATCCAACGAAAACCATGAAGAATTAGGGTTTTGCATTAATGTTGTTTCTATTTATAGGATAGTTGTTTGTTACCACAAAATAAAGTAAAATCTCCACTGTTCCTAATTATCTTCTCCCTTTTGTATGAGGAAAAACAACATTACAAAGGCACAGTTATCCATTAACTTACATAATTGTTTTCTAATGATTCATGGCAATGTTGTTTGTTCCCACAAAATAAAGTTCTACCTTCGCTGTGAATTATCTACAATACGTTCAATCAGGTAGAGTGCTCGCTTTGTAACCGGGAGGTCGTGAGTTCAAACTCCGGCCGGGTCATACCAAAAACTTTAAAGATGTGGGTACACACTGCTTTCTCTGCTTAGCACTCAGCATCTATGAGAAAGAGTATGGGATGGTCAAACACACAGCACTACCAGCAGACTAGCGCCCTGCTGTAGTGCTTGCACAACTGTGTGGCCCAAGGGCTACAGAAATAGAGATGGGCACCACCCCTATCCTCTGCAACGAGTTAAAAAGGACCTCCTTCTTCTTTTGCGTGGAGAAAACAACATTAGCAAAGTTCCTGTAGTTATTCATTAACACAAATCACCCGAGAACAATCAGTTGACACGTCGAGCTCATATTTCAGAGCAGGTCAAAAGAGTGGATTGACAGTAAACAGTTCAGCGTACTTCAAAGAACAAAGTGTGTTCCTAGATTTGGGTGCAAGGAAAAGATTGGGCCGAAATTGCCAACTCGTAAACATTCTAGTAAGTTAATGAGGGTGAAGTTATCTAAAATGTCAGTTGGGAATCTTTTTATTGGGCTGTTCAACAGCAATGGCATTAGAAAATGTTACGAACTTAAGTTGGATTTTATCCCAGTATTTAAAAAAAATTTATCAACCTTTACTTATACATTGTGTATAATATACTGAGTATATATACTTTTCCTTTTTTTCTTCTTCAAAATGTTGCCACAGTTTTCAACACTAACTTCTTTCGTTTCTGTATTTGCCAGAGATCCTAGCCTAAGTGTATTTTGACGTCATATCATAAATTTTGCCTTCAAACCTTAAAATTTAGGTGTGATGTGTTGACACTGTTACTAGGCAACAGGAGGTTACGACGACCTGTAGGTCAAACTTCAGAAAGTCGGTGTCCGAGTCAGCAAATTTATGGACAAACATTCCCCGCATTCTGCTTACTCTGTAAACAGGTTAGCAGGCCTCAAAATTAACTTTTCTTCCTATTGTCCCAGCACTGTCCCAAAAATAAAATGTCAATTGTCCCGAAGTGAGGATGAACTGTCCCAACCCGTTTTTCTGAAGTATTGTATTACTTCAACTTGAAGTCAACTTTATTTTCCTTATATCCACTCCCAGGTGTACTATTATAACTGCAGTAAAGACAGGAAATTTGGGGGGACTTTTCCGCATCCAAAAGCCAGGATGTGTGCCTGATAAATAAAAGAAGGACTGACATTCTGATGCTGGTTATTTTTCTATTGTCCCAATAATGTCCCAAAGTGTCTTTTTAGTTGTCCCAGCCTAAATTTTAGTGGTCAGTGGCCACTGGACCACCTTTAATTTCGAGCCCTGCAGCATTCTGCTTACTCGGTAAACAGGTTAAAGGTATGGAGACTGTGTGACACAAAGGGAGGAATCTGGCCCATTCAGTCCCAGAGATTAGCATAGCTCAGGTTAGGTCAACATTAGGGTACAATGATGAGGGTTCGGCTGCTGACTGAATGATTACTGTAAATGTGGAAATATTATCAGCGTTGTTTTTTGGAAAGTGTAAGAATTAGCCAAAGAAAGAGAGATAAAATTCCAGGGGAGTTGCGGCACCAGTGCGGCAAACTGTACCTTTCTAGCAGACCAACTCCCTCGGCATGTCATCTCTCTATTTGGCCAATTTCTACATACACTTTCCAGCCGCCTCCCGAAGCCTGGTAGAGGCTAGATGTGATCCACACTCAGGTGCACAGAAAGTTTTGGTGATTTGATTTTTTTAAATACAGTGTAGTACAGTTGCTGTACTACAGTTTCAAAATCTATTAGGACACAAAAATCTATTGGTGTGCAAAAAAAAAATCTCAGCCAATATTTAGGATAGCACAAATCATTCAAAATCATTACATAAAATGCAATGTACAATTTTTTTTTCAAATGTACATGTATATACATCCATAAAGTGTGTGATAGGACTTTCAAAGCTACTTCCATCCATCAAGAAGACAGATAAACCAGGAACAGATATTGGTTTTGCCGGTCGCCTGCTTTGCTGACTGCACTTGAGAGAGCCTGCACACGTCATAAAGGCAGTGAGCCACCTTTTGAAGTCTGATACACTCGGATAGAGACTCCAACATGAAAGATTCAAACTGCTTTGATCATCAGCATGAGTAAATACTACCGTTCTAAAGTGGAAGGACACTGCCAACCCAAATGAAGCAATTTAAAGACTATTTCTACATTTCATACAGTTCATGTGAGGACATGATGTGAGGATAAGGTCATTGTGATAACGTTTTTATTGCGTATTCCTTCCCACGTGATGTACATGTATTAATAAGAGCATGGAGCACTAAAATGCTTTTATCAACGGAACAAGTAAAGATAGTAGGAACGCCAACCCAAAACAAAGCAATTGAAGTCTTTCTACTGTAGTACATTTCATACAGTTCATGTGAGGACATAATGTGAGGATAAGGTTGTATTGATAATATTTTTTATTGCATATTTCTTCCCAGATGGACTAACTGCACATGATGTATAGAGCATGAAGCACTAAAATGCTACAAAAAATTTCTAATGCTAAACTAAAACTAAGTACAGTAACTATAGTACATGTCTATATATTTTGCATATGAAACACTGTATGTATACTATTGTTAATCTACTGCTCTATGTTGTTAATCTGCATCTATAATATAATATTTAAGTCTTAATCGCTGTCGTATCTAAACCAGTTGTTTGTGCAACACAGACAATTGTGTGTCCTCTTTTGTCTCTTTGTTGTCTGACTAGATCACATTTTCCCAAAGTGATGTCACCCTCTACCCCCCGGGCCTAAAACAATTATCTGTTCACTCAGGTGTCTCAGGGCTGGAAATACTGGGTGCATGTGCACCTTAGCACACCCAAATTTGGAGCTGTGCTCCCAATTTTTTTCTGTGGGTGCACTGGTGCACCCAAATATTTTTGTAGGTATTTTTTACATATCAAATATATAATAGTATACAGGATATTCTTGGCATCTAAGTGTCAGAAGAAGTAAAAGAAATAACAAAAATAAAATCTTTGTTGTAGTACTGCTTTAAGATTTTGAAGTTCCCATTTCGGATTCAAGCTCAGAAGAGAAGCAGTAAGATCAGTAAGATTATGTTTTGTTTCATATGGTGCACCCAAAAAATTTTTTGTGCACCTAATATTTTAGGTTGAGTGCACCAGTGCACCTATTCCCAAAAATGAATTTCTAGCCCTGTTTTCATTCAGGTGTTTGTTGTACAAGCCAGGTGTGACTTTCAGTCCACAGAATATGGCAAGGAAGTGCTAAAATCAGAAAGCAACAAAATACATTATAAATGGGGGATTACAAACATGTATTATTAGAAGCAGAACATTGCACAAATGCACTCAATGTCAGAAAAGCTTGAGGTCCTTAAAATCCCATTATTGACTGGCTGATTTTCCTTTGTCTGTTTTTCAAACACCATTGCCTAAGGAGAAAACAGATGCATTCAAACAATATAAAAGAGATTGTATTTTAACAAAAGGATTTTTTTGTCTAACTTCTTAGTAATCATACCCACCAGTAATTAGAATATCTCTTTGAATAGGTGTTTTTATGTTTCAAGCGCTGCATGCTTGCGAATCGAAGCTGGTGTACAATTTGTGTTAGGTGTAACGGTGTAATGTAGCCAGTTGCCGCCGTGCCGCGTGCCTGCGAAGCTGGTGTGTTATGCCGAAAGGCGGTTATACCGGCTATACAGATACAGAAGCTGGTGTGTTACGCCGAAAGGTGGTTATACCGACTATACAGATACAGATACAGATATGCCGAAGGGTGGTTTTACTGGCTGGTTTTACAGATACACATGTCCCTCAGCCAGTCAGTAACAATGTTACGCAGAGGTATACTAATACATTGCATAAAAGAAAAATGCATTTATCAATTGTCTCTCCAGAACATGTACATTGCACGAAAGAAAAAGGAATAAAAGAAAAAGGATACTCCAGCAATTGCTTACTAGAAACTTAAATATCTTTCATCATCTTAACTGATTCTTAAATGTCTGTTTGTTTCTGCAGGAGGTAAAAGGCGGGAAGACATTTACGAAGGTGAGTCTGAGACTTATCATGAAATTCGAAGTAACTTGGTTCATCTGTTTTGGTAGTAAATAATGTTGAAGTAATAAAATGTTGAAATTTGATTGATTGAATAAATGAAAGATTGGTTCAATCATGAATGAATGGTTAAACAAATGAATGGATGAATGAATGAATGAACTCTAAGCTTAGTAAAATGCCACTGTCACCTTCATCAGGATAATTAATGACCAATCATTTCAAAACGTAATGTCGCGATTGGTAGTAATCATAGTAAAATGTTGAACTTCATTCCAACACAAGGATTACACAGATCAAATTTTCAACAACCACTGTCGCCTACATCACGATAATTAATGACCGATCACTTCTGTAAGTAGTCGTTGAAAATTTGATCTCTGCCTACCCCTTGTGTTGGAATAAAGTTCAACATTTTACAAAGTCTGTCTTGTCTGTCAGTGAACACCTCCCCTTGTTGTGGTTGGAATTGTTTAGGGGACAGTCCGGTTTATTTTTCTTGTCATTTGCTCTAAATGCTGTGTCTTTACCTTTCATTGATGTATAAGCCAACTTCTTTAAATCTTATGCCAGTGTATTTTGTTAGAAGATAGTAAAATAACTAAATAAATATTGCTTAGGACAAGATCTCAAACTTTGAACCATGTACCAATGAATAAGGATGCATACTTCACAGTTTCACAAAATTATGAAACAAAATTGATGCCACTTTTGCATTATATGAATAAATAAATAGATAAATACATGTACATATTGATGGGTTTAAAACACTATAATGTACAGATATTTTTTAGTTTTGCTGCCTTTGAACTCTCTGTTTTTGACCACTAGCTGATAATGAACTTGCTATCGCTGCAAACACACATCACAGATTTATGTACTGGGGTTGAGTCAAGTCAATAAAGCTGTGAGGCTGAATAGCTTACAGGGAGTCACAGCTTTGTACAGCTGCAGTTCTTTGTTATGGTGCAGCAGCGCCCCCTACACTGGAACTGCAGCATGTTGTGGTGCATGGTGGTTTTATGAAGCCAGGGCTCCAAATACTGAAGCTTCTTTCTGCATACACATGACTGTATTTCTTTTATATTATACTTCATACATATAGGTGGCAACTCTCTGTCAATGCAGCAAATAAAAATCCATCTACACCTATCTAATATATAAACCAAGGACCTACATTGTAGATCAGTACAGCTTAGATGCAGGTAGACATCAGAAATACATGATGTACCTGAACAACCCCAATTTTACCTGCACTATGTATTTCAAGCCCTGGACACTCTCACACAAACAGATACACCAAAAGCAACAATCCTCTTCACACGATGGTGAAAAACATTCACTCATTTCCAGGGAGGAAGAATTACACAGCCATAATATCTTCATCAATATGTAAATATGTAAGACATCATCATACTAATGATGATGACAGTTGTTGACAGCAATTTAGTAATATTTTGCAATGATAACGCAAGGTTACCAGTTTACGTGCAGGACCAGTTTACGGTCAGTTAGTGACACGGCCACACTTCGAGGTGTACCAGCCAAAAATCAACGGTCGTGAGCAACAAAGAATAACATGAATATGATCCTTATATGTGTCTTTTATTTATTCACTGGATGGGAATAAGTTTGCATTCAGCGACACAGCAGAGTATCTTCCGATATGACGGGACAGCAAGGTAACATGGCCTTGGACGCATGTTGTGTTTTTCACATAATACAATACTCAACATTTCGTCGATTTTTTAAAATCCCAAGAATGCTAGGAAATTGTAACGATAGCTGGCATCAAACCTGGCTTTCTTATTTCAATCATCCATGGTGTTGTGAGGTATGAAACTTTCAAACACCTTGAAATAAACAAGCAAAAGTACAGTGGCAGTTCTCGCCGACTAGCGTTTTTTCGAACGCCATTTTGATCATCATCATCGTTGCATCAGGTGACGTCACGGTTTTAAACTGCAGAAAGGTACGTAAAAGTCGCTTCCTGCGTCCGTAGCGAAAAGTTTGCTCGGGTTTTCACGACGTTCCTTTGTGTCTGGAGGGGCATAGACGCTTGTTATCTATTGCAACGGTTTAATGGAACATCTTGGGCCATTATGTCACGTTCTACTAAGGGAAAAATGCAGGTCCAGCCTCATTTAGCACCACAGCGCTACTGCATGCGACAGTGGGCTACACACTGACATTTTACCGTGGTTTGTTGTTGACCACTTCGGTATTTTTTTGCAGAAAGTGTTTGTCTATGTGCGCTTATACGTAGAGCATACAAGGACAAAGGTCCAAGTGACCGTTAATTGGTCACCCTAGAGCAATTCTCCACTGTTAACTACTAAATAAATAAAAGCTGGCACGGCACAAAAAACGCAGGGAAGCAATGACACGGCACACACTTTTATAACCGACGAACTACTGTTTCTTCACAAGGGTTAAATATTTAGTTCTGCCCATGCGTTTTCACAAAAAATGGAATTTTCCATAATTCGACCGTAAACTGGTAACCTTGCGTTACATATAGCTGTCATTTCCAATGGAACTGTTCAAATCGGCTTATTCTTAGGACCATTTCTCATGTCAGATTATAGCACCCAGGATGACATGTCTTCAAGTTTTCTGCTTATCAAGGTTTCACACCTTGAATTTCTCCTGTACCTTGAGACACGGTTGAGTGTAACACCTAATAACTATACCACAGACTAGTACTGTATGGCTATGAGTCTTTTGTGTCAAACTCTGCAATAGTTATTAACTAAAGACTGGATTGTGGGGTATTATATGTATTCTGCAAAAGAGTTGGAAGGCTTGATAATGAAAGGAGAACATGACTAATATATTTTATAGTTTTAGACATCATATTAGCTACATGGTGCATATAGTTTTCAACAATTTGTAACATTTTAGTTTGATTTTGTAGATTTTTAAGTTATTTTATACTCTGTTTCAATGTTCTTTTGTCTTTATTTGAAATTAGGCTGAGTTCAGGCAGGAATTTGCCATAAACTAATATCTATTATTTTGAATTCACTTAAAAATCAATCATGTAGAAATGTGTAACTGTATTAAAAAAGAAACACTTATTGAACCAACTACAGAGACTGCACTCAATACCGTATTATTTCTCCTACCACACATACCACATACGGGCTCCCATTCTTCTCCCATTCTTCACTAATTGGAGAGAAAATTGGCTGCTTTACAAGGCAGCAGGTATTTATTGATTCCAGACGATCTAACGTGCTTCGCTGGGAGACAATAATGTGGGTTATAAAGGACCCACCGTACCGCCAACGATCGACTGAGCTGTACCAGTAAAGCATGGAACTGGCAGGGATTCAAGAAACATCAGTATTCTGTGCACGTCAATGTGTACTCTTCTTATACAGAACTGTTGTAACAGTCTGCAACAGTAAGAAATTGAAGATCTCATTATGGCCAAGCTTTGGAATTCCCTCCTTGACACTTAAAGTGTTTCCCACCAACCTACAATCTACAGGCTTCAAATCATACATTCACCACCATCTCTTGACATAGCCATGTTTCTCTCATATTCTAGTATAGTTCAATGCCGAGAAGTGGTCGTATAGGCCATGCATTGAGCCACCCTGTTAAAAAAAAAAATTATTTCTCTCCTGGTATGATATTTCAAATTCCTGGTGTTTCTAAACTTATCTTGTTTAAGTGTTACCAGTAAAGCATGGCATTGGCAAGGATTCAGGAAACGTCTGTTCAGCAATTCAAATTCTGTTCACATACATGTAAACCTTTACATTGTAAGAAAGCACTTGACAGCTAACCAAAAAGGTTTCACAGTAACTGTTGTGGTTTTTGTCATTTTGAAAGGAAAGAGGCGTCCCCTGTGTGTCAGTGAAAAATGTCTGACAGTCGAAGCATAATGGTAGAAATATTGCAAGTCTACATGTAGGCACAACATTGTCCCAGAGGTTTCCTGTATATAGCAGATTTATTGTTTGAGGTATGATGTCTGCAGGCGTTTCATATCAGAAGCACAGAGTTCTGACATCATGCACGCATGTACATCTGTCACTGTCTAATGCTGAGACTGTCTGAAAAATTTGCTTGTTTTTAGACGTTATCTGGATGTATAGATTTACTACTGTCACCAAGTACGTTTTCAGTAGTTTTTGTCTGTTTGTCTGTGAACAGCATAATTTAAAAAGCTTTGGATGGATTGTTATGAAACTTGGTAGGTGGGTAGGTCTTGATGAAACCTACAAATGATTAGATTTTGGGCCCTCTGGTGGCTTTTGTTGGTACTGCAGCAGAACTAAGGTTTTGATATCTCATGATCTGGACATGCTAGGGTCACGGATTTTGGATGGTAGCTTGAAAAATTTATGTACCCTGCAGGGGTCTACACAAACAAATGGCTAGAGTCAGCAGTTTTTCTAGGGTCAGTTGGGAAACAGAAAACACAACATTTTCCTAGGCCTTACAAAAAAAAAAAAAAGAACTACATTGAACATGATGAGGAATATGTTTATGTTTTCAGAAACAGCATTTTTTGGTGGTGTAACTGTAAAGATATATACAGCAAATAATTTTTTTATCTACATTGAACCTGATACTTGTCTAGTAGTTTTTTTTTGGGGGGGGGGCTGTTAGAAAATATGGGTTGCAAAGATTGGATCTACATCGAACATGATGAGGAATATCTTTAATTGTTTTCAGAAACAGCATTTTTTGGTGGTGTAACCGTAAGGATATATACAGCAAATAATTTTTTGATCTACATTGAACCTAATACTTGTCTAGTAGTTTTTTTTATTAGAAAATATGGGTTACATTTTTTTACAAAGATTGGATCTACATTGAAGCTGATGAGGAATATGTTTTCAGAAACAGTACTGCTCTCCTGTGTGAGAGTTATAGCCTTAGTCTGAAATAGTCTAATTAAGGCCTGTAGAAACGGCCAATTATAAACAAGCCTCCAGAGAAATCAGGGCAGAACAGTAAAAACTGTTACTGTTTATAACCTTCAGTTTGGGAGGTAGGAAAATAAGGTCAGAGTAAGTTCATTAGACTGAAATGATGTACATGTTTTTTTATTGTCTTCAGAATCAGAATTTTGCTGTGTAAGTTTTCAACAAATTCTCACTGTAACATTTCAACAAATTCTCACTGTAACATTTTAACAAATTCTCACTGTAACATTTCACTCACTGTATTTAAGTCACTGAATATTGCCCACCCAAAACTGTGAATCCCTTCTTTGTAGAATTATACAAGCTTAAGTTTAAAACTTCACTTGCAAAAAGACACCAGTTATTTTTAATTAAAAAGAATTTAATTTAATTTTAATGAAAAAAAATCAAATGTACATTTTGCAATAGGTAAATAACCAATGTCACCAAAGAAGTTTTTTTTATTTTCGTACACCTTAAAGGCAAGTAGTTTTGAGAGTAAAACTTCTTACAGAAATGGCTTTATATGGTACAAAAAGTAATAACAATATCCCTCAAAGGCAAACCATATGAACAGATTCAAAGAGCTTCTCTGCTACAATACCATAAAAAGTTCTCTCCCATCTTTGAGTCTTCAAAAGAGGATGATAGTATGAGAAGTAGACAGCCGATTCCTCAAGCTTTCACATTACCCTGCGTTGGCGTCACTAGTCCTTTAGTGGCTGGCATTAGATCATACTTATCTGTCCAGCCCTGCCCTTCAGTAGTGCAGGATATGGCAGTTATTTATAATTGAAAGGAGAGCTCTGATCTCTTCCTTTTTCCTGTGATTTCCCTTGGTGGTTTGATAGGTGTTTCCGACTCAGGCAAAGATACTGTGTATCTCACAATGTTTGCTGTGATTTTATTGCTGTCGTAATTTTATTGCTTTCATGGCAGTGCTTTGTCTTTATCATAGAAATAAGTTATGAGGTTTACTAAGTTAAACTGTTGTCTTAAATGTAGAAAATTCAAACTCTACTACTGGATGAATTACGGAGACAATTCCGGAAAATTCCATAATTTATCCAGTAGTAGTACTTGTAGAGTTTGAATTTTCTTTTGACTTAATAATTGTGTACCTTAATGTCTAACCTTCTCCAAAATAGTAACTGTGGGGTCGCGTGGCATAACAGCAGAGTACTCGACTCGGAACCAAGAGGTCCCGGGTTCGAGTCCTGACATGCCACCGATCTTGTGCCCTTGGGAAAGGCACTTTACACGTCACTTTCCTCACTTCGCCCAAATGAAAATGAGTATTGCATTGTCCCCTGTGTTGGCGGCAGTATTAATATAAGAGTGTGCCATCACCACGTCTTGTGATTACATGTCGGCATTAGAAAAATAAAACATAGTAACTATTGTTGTTATTTATTGTTGTTGTTTATTGTTGTTGTTTATTCCAGCTGGGATTCGTAGATGTAAACCTGGGTGAGTTTGCTGGTTCAGGAACCACGTCCAGGAGGTACCTGCTGGAGGGGTACGACTCGAAACACAGACAGGACAACTCCATTCTCAAGGTAAGGCTTAGTACTCCAAGGAAGTCAACACAGGAAAATATTGTTTTTGCTCAGTTTGCTCTTCTCCAAACACAAAACGGTCAATGACTTGAACTAGACAGTCTATCACCATGGTAACTAGTGTTGGGTTATCATGTTGCAGTTTTATAGCAGGAGGGATTTAGACTCCTGTCACCATATAATGTTATATAAATGTGTTTGAGTAAGAATTTTTAACAGAGCAGACCATATGTGAAGGTTAACATTATGCATTTGCTTTGCAAATGTTACCTTAAAGTTATCAGTTGTGTGACTTGTGTCTGTACGTTCACAGCTGTGTCTCACAATCCCTTTGCTGCATTGGTATGTACATATATTGTTCAGAAGACCAGTTCAGCACCAAGGACAGGTAAAATACTTGTAACTCCGCCCCCTTAACAAGTTATCAGTGACCTCCAACAGAGTATTGTGATCAGTTGTGTCAGTATATTCACAGCTGTAGCTCACAATACTTTGCTGCATTGGACCAGGTATATATGTAGTTCAGAATCGTTCAGAAAACCATTTCAGCACCAAGGACAGGTAATAATATAAATGTAACTACATATACACTACCTTGACAAGTTTTTTCACCAGTTGGCATGCTTTTTATGTGCATGTATGAAGATATGAACTTTGTGTGTTGAATTTTTAACCAATTTGTACAATGATTTCATGAAGTAGTCACAGCAAAAAGCAGAGAAATAAACTCCAGATTTACAGTATACACAAGAAAGCAAGCATCACTCAGGTATTCCAGCTATGACAGCAATTCTAGTACCGTTAATGCCACAAAACCCTCCATGGAAAACTGTTACTTTAGATAAGGGTATCATTGCAAAGGACACCTATATGTAGCATTTAACCACACACTATGAATACACAATGTAGCCTCAGCTTGCCTAGAGCTGTTGAGGTACAGAAAGGTAACAGAAAATCCGCCAAAAAGCAGTTACTCAAGCAACTAGATATGATTTTGGAAACGGTCAGACGTTTCAGGTAGTATCCACTAGCTTTCGTCAGTGACTGAAAGACTTGCATTTCTCCTGGTCTTTCATTCACTGACAAAAGGTACTGGATGCTACCTGAAACGTCTGACCGTTTCCAAAATCATCATCATATCCAGTTGCTTGAGTAACTGCTTTTTGGTGCATTGCAAAGGACACCTATGTGCAACATTTAACCACACACTGTGAATACACAATGCAGCCTCAGGTTGCCTAGAGCTGTTGAGGTACAGAAAGGTAACAGAAAATCAATGCCGTGCTGATTTGATATTGATTCTATAACTTAAACTGAGTATAAGGAGATTTCTTCTACATCTGGTATGAAAGAGACTAGTTATTTGATCAATCAATATCCACTTAGATTTGTTTTATGGAAGATAAAAGGTTAAATCTGAAAGTCTTTGTAACTGTAAAGGATGCTATAGATAATTTTACCTTGAAGCAAGTAAAATCACCTACGTACTATATTAGCTATTCTTTACCATCAAATTGCTAAGGTTGCCTTTTGGCTACAAAATCTGTGTCTGCTATGAGAGATAGGACATACTGGAGTAACTTTATCAAGTGTACCTCACTGGATTAGTATAATCCGGAGGCATGATGATGATGATGAAAAGAAGATTAAATTTGTGACATTTCAAAGGAAATACAGCCCTGGCCAACATTTTTATTCAATCAGAAAGAAATATCAAAACCAAATTAAAAAATGTTGAAATGTTTTCACTGAAAACATTAGAGAGATATAGAATTTCCAATTGAGTAAAGAGACTCTTTTTACACAACCAAGTCTTTTATTCAGCCGACGTTTCAGTGACTGTACTGTCTGCCACCTTCCTCAGGGCAATTCTGACTGGTGTATTGCTCTGTGACTTAAATTACCAACCTGATGAAACTATTCACAGAACTGCCAATTATTCTTGCTTCTTGTGGCACTGTTGCACTCCCTCCTAGTGTACCCCCTTTCTTGTAGATACCACAGTAAAGAAGCCCTCAGATAGCTTTCCTTGCAAAGCCTTTATAATCAGACAGAATGATGTATAACTAAAGCCCTGATACTGATCTGTAAGTGGGGACTTAAGAACCACTTAAACCCATCCTGGAAAAATTACATTACCCTTATTTCTGCTCAAGTGGCAACAAATGGGCTGAATTCAAGGCCATCAGTGAGAAAGGTCTATAATGCCAGCAATTCTAGCATTTATAGAAGTGAAAGATTTGGGTTGGAGAGTGAAAATGGGGTTTTGATAACATAAATGGTAGATTATAGTGCTTAGCCAGGGAGAATAGACTACTGTAAATGTGTTTGATTTTACAGCAGTGGAAACATCACAAGTTTGTGGCATTTCTTTAAGTTCACGGTTGGTTATACAAATAACGGAAACAGAATGGAATGGAGAACAAACATTTCTGCTTGTGATATCTGTATTTACCGTGAGAATTCACCCGGAAAAAAAATGCTGAGAAATTTTGCGAAAATTTCAAAACAGATTCGAACCTTGTGGTATCTTAAAGTTCGCAGTTGGAACAATTTTAATTAGAAAATGAGAATGAGAATGAAAAAATGAGACAAAAAGCAAAGAAATGTTTCTGCTTGTTATGTCTGAATTTGCCATGAGAGATTACCCTGAAAACTACGAACACTAGAAAATTTCCAAATGTACAGTATGTAAGGCGATCACTAAAGCTGGCAAAGCTCCAGACTCAGACATGTACTTAATTTGGACAGGGATGGGACTGTCTTTAAGCTCCACTTACTGTGGCTGCAGGATGACAGGGTTTAAATTAAGCAGCTTTTCATCAGAAAACATGGCAGACTGTCCGTCTTATTCGGACAGGTAAAGTGTTTAAGGCTGCCCAATCTAATCTGGCGAGAACCCTTTTATGACGTCACTGCTAGCCAAGGAGGTCATGTGAGACATTTATCAAATCCACATTGTCTCCTGCGCAGGCGGGAATCGAACTTGAGACCTCTAGATCTGATATAAAAGTGACATGTATGATTGATGTACATACATTGTACCTGTTACAGTTGTTGTGCAAAAAAAAATCTAGAGTAAACTTTTTCAATAGTTCGTGCTTTTATAAACCTGCTTTTCTGACAACTCTCCAGTGTCACTGGCGAAAGGTAGTGGATGGTACTGAAACCTCTGACCGTTTTCCAAAATCATATTCTGTTGCTTGGATAACTGTTTTTTGGCAAAACTTTTGGATGACTGTTTGAATTCATCACCAAATCTGTGCATGTACATAATGTACAGTACCCCAGTATATGCAATATTCCACACATGCATTCCGACAATGACTTAACCTCCTGGCCAGTCCAATCCTCCATACGTGTATCTATCAGTACCATGTGAGCCTACAGACAGTCAGGTATGAAGGCATCATGCCAAACTACCCGTTCCCAGTCTGTATAAATGGTTACCACATTCCACTGATGGCTCAGTCAATGCTCAGACCTACATTTGTGCAGCAGGCCGTGCCAAATGTACCATTTCTGGGTGTTAAACTGCACTGCAGATGGCATTTGTGATAGAGAAATTTGATATTATGTGCACAGCTTCATGTATGTAATATCGCGGAATGGCTCAAAATGGTAACTTGGGAATCTGCAGATATTTTGTAGTAATGTGCATGATGTTTACAGGTTATATAGCCAACACCTACATTTACACGTATCTGGAAAATGCATATACAGAGATATTTGTGAACATAAAATGTAAATAACTAAAATTTAAATCATTTTCGCTTAAATGCTTTGTGTATTTGTTTATTGTTTATTTCAATTTTTCACAAAGTGAAAGGGAGGGCAAAACAGGTGCATACGCACCTTTACAAGTTGCCCCCCCCCATACAAAAACACATATGCAACATCAAAATTTACATGGTCAATAATAACTTTGACTTCCCATGAAATACATAAATTTGTACATAATGCAGTTATCCCCAGGCTACTTAGTGTGCCTTCAAGTCACAGAGCTATCCGAAAGTGGAGTAACTACAGGGCAGAACTAATAGTAATGGCTTGGATCTAATCATCTTAATTTGATTTTCTTATTTTCCCCAGTGGAGTGAGTAATGATTCCCGTAGGACTAGGTCATAAGTCTCCCAGTGTGACCTGGATCTCACACTGACATCTTCAACTCAGTTGTCTACTTGTCAGAATTACCAGGGCTTAAAATTCATTTTTGGGAATAGGTGCACCCAACCTAAAAAAGTTGGGTGCACCAAAAATTTTGGGGTGCACCATTTGAAACAAAACCTATTTTACAGACCTTACTGCTCTTCTTCTCTGAGCTTGAATCTGAATTGGGAGCTAACTTCAAAATCTTAAACAAGAACTACAGCAAAGATTTTATTATATTTTTGACACTTAGATTCCAAGAATATCCTGTATACTATTATACATTGAATACCTGAAAATACTGTACCTACAAAAATATTTGGCACTTAACGTGCACCCAGTATTTCGAGCCCTGCCATAACTCTCCCAGTGTGACCTGGATCTCACACTGACATCTTCAACTCAGTTGTCTACTTGTCAGACACACATGTGGATAGGAAATTGGATTAAACTTTGGACCATACCAATGAGATTACAGGGGAAGACACTTGACTATTTTTTTTATAAGGTATTAAAATTTAATGCTCGTTCTGAAATGCAGTTTGAATTGTGGCAACATTTTCTGAAATTACCATCATTGAATTTTGATTGATTAAGGTACATTACATCTTTCAGGAAAAGATGTGAAGCAATTTTCATTTGAAGAAAAAATGTATTTTACTACATAATTTATAGGGCATTTTCCAAACACCATGGCATGGTACAGGTCTAATACCAGTTTTTTTTAGCAATTCCAATTCAAGATAGAATTTATTAAAACTTTTGGTCACCCTTTTGAAAGTTTTTGAGCCTGAGCCATTAAGAAAATTGCCTTGTACAGATCTAGATTCAGTCCCAGCTGTTAACTAAGTATCTCTCAGGAAATGTCGTCCCTGACAGACATGAAAAATAGGTCAGAGGCCGTAACTATGGCGATGTCGTGCCAACTATCTTTCCCCCACAATCTGGAAAATGAATCCCATGGTGCATTGACCCAGACAGACAGACATTACAGGATTTACAGACATTGCTCTTGAGTAACCCCTTTTCCATGGATGACACTCATTTCTTTAAATTCTAAGATCATTTTGACCTCTCTAAAGTAAAAATGTATAAAACGTCAGATAATTTTCCGTGAGGAAAGGCAAGTTTAGAGCTCTGACTTGGTTTTTCTGTAATTTTTCATATTTATTTTGGAAAAAGGATTTAGAGATATTGCTCTTGGGTAACCCCGTTTTCATGGATGACATTTTTTCTAAGATCTGTTTATTCGATCCCCCTAAAAATTCATAAAATGTCAGAAAATTTTCCATCCAGAAAGGCAAGTTTTGAGCTCTGAGTTGTTTTTTTCTTTGATTTTTTAAGTAATAAAGTCTAAGTGCCTACCACTGAGTGGTTGTCATGAGATGTAGGCTAGACCGTACGAACGAAATGAGGTTGTTCTGTTAAATCCTTTGATTTGTTGGTCAATTTGTACAGGCCTTCTAAATTGTTGATGGCAGAGGTCAAAGCAGAGCTGCTGAATCATTCAGAACAACGGACAGGGTTTTCTATGGGAATTGGTTACTGTTAACTCACTTATTTTCACGTGGATTTAACTTTACAGTTAAAAATCAAAAGGAGGTCTTCTTGGTGTTAGTTTGCTGTGAAAGCACTCAAGCGCAATGTGATGCATAATTACTGTAGGTAGAATTATATATATATATATATATATTGTATTGGATTTTGAAGGCATAAACGATATGGTCGATAAAGAAAGTTGTTTGTATCTGTAGTGCCCAAGATCACTCAATTCAGTCAACCATATTTGTTGACTGTATTATACAATCATGTATGACGAATAAATAAACCAATGATAATAGACATTGGCCCTCAACTTTCGAATCAACATAATACCCACAATTTGACATAATATTATTTATTTATTTATTTATTCATTTATTTATGACAATTTACCACATTTGTGGAAGGCTTGACATAACAGGTGACTATCACCTTTTCAAAGATGTCAAACCCGAGACCAGACTGTAAGGTTTGAACCACTCACACCGGGAAGGTCCCCTACTCTTTTCGATAAGTGTGGTGGGTTCAATGTGCGTGGGGTGTGGCGTTCCCAAACACGGGACCTCCATTTAACGTCCTATCCGAGGGACGTCCCTAGCCGAAGCTAGGTACTCATTTTCACCTGAGTGAGGTGAGGAAAGTCGTGTAAAGTACCTTTCCCAAGGGTACAACGTCGGGGCGCATGTTCGGACTTGTTCGGGTACGACCCGGAATCGGACCCGGGTCTCCCCATTTCATAGTCCAGTGATGTACCACTACACCACACGACGCCACAATTATAACTTCTTACATGTATATCAAAATCTTTGCAGTTTTCATTTTTAGTTTTGTGTTTTCAGTGCATATTGCATTACATTGTCATAGTTATTAATATATAGGAACTGTTTACTTTGTGTTACTACAGGTGAACATAGCAATGACTCTACTGTCTGGGGACCCCTGCTTCAAAGCGTAAGTACTTTTAGTTTTCTTCTACTTATGACAAAATGACTTGTACATTTATCTGCAGTATTTGATATTAATTGAAGATACTAAGCCTACTAATTGTGACAAAAAAGCTGTCTTGTTGTCAGTACTAGAAGATATGAACTTGTGTAGCCTTTTACATGTTGAATAATTCAAGATTATTTTGGATATGTACATAAAACGAACAAAAAAGACTTCATAAATGCAATGAAGACTTCAGTCTATTTATAATTCATGCGTCTGTCCTGGTTTTGCAAGTGATTACTTTGACCTTTTGGCCCTTCGCATGTCGTTGTTGTTTTTGATTGCGATAAAGTTAAAATGGGATTTAAGTGTCAGTAAGGGTTAATTGGTACCCTTAATGAAGTAGGACCTCTGTACTCTTTATTCTATTAATCCAACCCTTGCTGAGCATGCTAAATAATCCCTCTACATGTAGGGCCTAGGGAAAAATGTTGTGTTTCCTGTTTCAGTCCTGAATAATTAGGGTTGGTAGGTAGGGATTATCTTCTTTTTTTCTTTCTTGTTTTTGGCAATTTTTTGACTTTGGCAATCTCTAGAGTGATCCAACGTATTCTTGTATACAGTTTAAAAAGTAAAACTTGCATGATGACACTTACATTTTCATTGTCAATGTTGGAAACCCAATTGTACAGCGTTTCATCACCCAGGTGTCAGAGCATGGAGCTAGAAATGGTTGATCAGCTTAAAAAAATTACACGGTATGTCCCTTGCAGGGGTCCACACAAGAAAAATTGTAGGGTCAGCAGTTTTTTCTAGAGTTGGTCGGGAAACAGGATTTTAGCACAACATTTTTTTTTAGGCCTAGGCTCTAATGAATTCTGTGATCTGCTAGCAGACATTGCCAGAATTTAGACATGTTTAGATTAAATCTGTTGTACGTCGGGATAAAGTGATTACAGAAAGGTGCCATTACTGTGGTTAATGCCCTGTTTTTGGAATGTTCTGATCATTAATACTGTACATTATAGCAGGCATTAAGGGGTGTTATTAAGGAAATGATGATGGTAAATTGCGGGGTCATAAATTAAGGGATTTTACTGAGATGTAATTTAGCATCTGTAGCATCTGTGCTCATGACTGTATTCAACGTGTGCAGAAGTTGGATGCTGACTCAGTTGATGTTTGACTAGCAAAAAATTATGAAATTTAATAATCTGTTGACTGATAAATCATGTAAATTTGTATACTGTACATAATGATACAGTCATTATGTATCTTCAGTAACAGCAAGGTGTGTAGACTAGTATATTGTTCAGTCTGAAGGACTTATAAAAGACTAAATAAAACCTTTAGAGTTTGAATAATCAGGTACAAGAATGTACCTTAAATGGCCGGTGTACCTGACATTTACAGACTTTTTTTAGCCCTTTTTGAACAGATTTTATTGATGGAAACTGAAAAGTATAATAAAACAATATGTTCTAGAGGTTTCATAATTCCATGTTTAAAGCCTTGGGTTTGCGGTGATAAAAATTTGTGGGCAACACTTGTAAGTTAGACAATTTTTGTGCACCCAATTCCCAAAAATGAATTTCAATCCCTAATAATAAAAGAATATTTGTTCTAGAGGTTTCATAATAATGCATGTTGTTCAGTTAGGGTTTTCTTCAGTGATTTTGTGGACAGTGTAAGTTAGACAGTAGTCTGACTCAGAGAGTTCTCAGGTATTGATCGGGCCCAATGATGGATGGTTTCCTATCTCCACCGTTAAGGAGTCCTGCAGTTGTTAATGGGATGTGAGAAGATGGCCGTTAAACTGGGAATAGGAGTCATGCAGAGATGTCCAGACTGGTAGATCAACGTGTAAAAGCAATGAAAGGAGAGGGATGGGCTCCACTAAAATTCTATTACCTGCCTGCCCAAATTTAGACTTAGACGCAGTAGATTAACAACCCACTGTCCCTACCAAAGGCTTTCATACTGCATTTACCCTTCTTTTTCGATTGTACTAGTTGGGAATGGGAATCATGCATAGATGTCCAGACTGGTAGATCAACCTGTAAAAGCAATGAAAGGAGAGGGATGGGCTTTTTCTATTACTACTGTCTAAATTTAGACACTGAGTGGATTAACAACCCACTGTCCCACCTACATGTAAGACTAGTATTGGACAACCTTTTTTTTACCCTACCGATTGGGATTATGGAAGATGCAATGATGTCCAGTCTGGTAGATCAACTTGTAAAAGCAATGAAAAGGAGAGGGATGGGCTCTTTGTATTACCACTGCCCAAATTTAGATACAGTGAATTTAACAACCCACTGTCCCTACCCTACCTAAGGCTACTTTACTACTGTGTGTTTGTGTGTGTGTATGTGTGTGTGTGTCTGTCTGTGTGCATAGCTTTAGCATCCATAACTCAAGAAGCTACGGATGGATTATCAACTTGGTAGGTGGGTAGGTCTTGATGAGACCTTAAAATGATCAGATTTTGACCCCCTGTGTGTGTGTGAGTGTGTGTGTGTGTGTGTGAGTGTGTGTGTTAGGCAACAGAATCTTCAGCTAGTTGAAGGCAGCTACCTCAAAATGAAAGTTGAGTTTTAATCAACTACCTGTTCTCTGATCTTTCCAGACCAGACATGAAACAGATGGTCCTGCCAGGAGAGCGGATGGACGTCAGTCTACAGCTGGACTGTACCTTAGTTAGATGATGTACATGTATGTGTACTGATGTATGTATGTGTAGATGATGTACATGTGTACATGTAAGTTTTGTGTTGCCCCTACAGACCAGACATGAAGCAGATGGTGCTGCCAGGAGAGAGGATGGACGTCAGTCTACAGCTGGACTGTACCTTAGTTAGATGATGTACATGTAACTGTAAGTTTTGTGTTGCCCTACAGACCAGACATGAAACAGATGGTGCTGCCAGGAGAGCGGATGGATGTCAGTCTACAGCTGGACTGTAAGGCTGACGACGGTGGCGGGAGTCTGGCTTCGGGCAGCAGCGGCTTCGGCAGTCTGCCCAGGAAAAACCGACCCAGCGTGCTCACATCAGGTAGGGAGAACTAGAGCTTAGAGCTCATTCATTCATTCATTTAACTATCATTCATTCATTCCGACCCAGTGTACTCACCTCAGGTAGGGGGAGAACTAGAGCTTAGTTCTCATTCGTTCATTCTTTCATTCATTCATTCATTCAACCACTCATAAAACTGCCCCAGTGTACTCACATCAGGTAGGGCTTAGAACTTGTTTGTTCATTCATTTCACCATTCATTCATTCAACCACTCATAAAATTGGCCCAGTGTACTCACCTCAGATAAGTAAAATCGCCCCCACATATTCAGATAGGAAGAACTCGAGCTTAGAGCCCTGAATGATTTCATTCATTCATGTAGGGATGAAAGAACTACAAGACCTTACAGCTCATTCATGCATTCAATCAAACATTCATTCATTCAATCCTTCATTCAATGATTCTTTCAGTCTACCAATCACTAATCTTCCTTCAATCAAATTTAATGCAGGCAAATTCTTCCCAATCTTAAAACTGTTTCATGTCTATTATGTATTTGGAGATGACTAAAAAACAGTTCTGGTCGTATGTCTGTAAATGTACTAGAAGCGTCACTTATCTGCCATGTTATCACATTTACTAAAATATCATAAGATTCCTTATACATTTGTATGTTGATTTTAAACCTTGTATAAAGCTTTCCTATGTACATCACTCATGTTTATCCCCTACCCCACTGCAGGTTTGGTATCTCCCAGTAGCGATGAGCATGAGCAGAGCCCGTTGTCAGAGGACGTGTTTGAAATGGGCCATTCCAGAAACTCCAGCTATGCCAGCCAACAGTCCAAGGCCTCCGACTATAGCAGCACACACTCACGATCCTCCAGTTATACTGAACCTGGCCACTTCAGGTAAGGTTAGAGTGTAGTATAGTGTATGTAAGGTAAGGTTATAGTGTAGTATAGTGTATGTAAGGTAAGGCTAGTGTAGTATAGTGTAGTATAGTGTATGTAAGGTAAGGCTATAGTGTAGTATAGTGTAGTATACATTGTTCCAGAAACTCCAGCTATGCCAGCCAACAGTCCAAGGCCTCCGACTATAGCAGCACACATTCACGATCCTCCAGTTATACTGAACCTGGCCACTTCAGGTAAGGTTATAGTGTAGTATAGTGTATGTAAGGTAAGGTTATACTACTAGTGGGTCTGGCTGAAATAACAGAGGAATAGGCCTGGGACCACTTAACTGTCCCTTTTGTACTTTAGAACAGTTAATATGTTATTCCCACAGAAGCACACTGGCCTGTGTTCATCAAACCTGTGACAGAGGTTCTGGCTAAAATAAAGTGTTCCCCAAGAAATTATCCTGGGACCATTACTGTACGTTTTGTACAAAAATGATCTGTAGTGTTAGTGATAATGACAGTCTCTAATGCCCATGCAAAACCCCAAGCCACAGTACTTTAGGTCAGTACTACATTGGCCAGTGCCAGTAGTTTTAAATGTTCCCCAAGGAATTGTCCCGGGACCATTACTGTTCCTTTTGTACATAAATGATCAGCAATGTTATTAATTATGACAGTTTCTAATGCCAATGCAAAAACTCAAGCCATAATAGTAGAGGTTAGTACTACCTATGCCAGTGGTGCTGGCTAAAGTAGCTTCAAATGTTCCCCAAGGAATAGTCCTGGGACCATTACTGTACGTTTTGTAGTACATAAATGATCAGCAATGTTATTGATGATGACAGTCTCTAATGCCTATGCAAAAACCCAAGCCACAGTACATGTAGTTCAGGCCAGTATTCTAGCTATTGCTGTCTTCCACTGACCTGCATGTGCCAATGGTTCTGGCTCAAGTAGCTTTAGATATACCCAAAGGAACTGTCCTGAGACCACCACTGTCCTAAGTTTGTAGGTGAATGATCAGAAATACTTATGATAATGACAGTTTCTACTGCCATGTAGAAACTCAAAGCAGTCTTCGAAAGTGCATGGGTCTGCCTAAGTAAGTTTAAGTGTTCCCCAAGGAAGGCTCTTTGGACCACTTCTGTGCCTTTTATACATATAGGCTCAATTATGTTATCTTGCCTTTCCCAGAAACCCAAGCCACAGTAGCTCATATCATGCCAATACTCCAGCAGTAGCCGTCTTCCAAAGATACTGGCAATAGTTCTGTCTAAAGTAGGTTTAAATGTTCCCCAAGGAATAATCCTGGGACCACTACTGATTACTATCATGTACATCATCTGCCTTCTCAGAAACCCAAGCCACAGTAGCAGCAGTCTTCCAAAGACCTGTGTCAGTGGCTCAGGCTAAAGTAACTTTAAGTGTTCCCCAAGGAATGGTCCTGTGACCACTACAGTAACTGTTCTTTTGTGAAAGGTCTCCCGTGCTCTATGCAGAGCATAGGGTGGTGCCCATGTCCATTTCCGTAGCCCTCGGGCGACACAGAGTTGTGCAGGGCACTACAGCAGGGGGCTAGTCCTCTGGTAGTGCTGTGTGTTTGACCTTCCCACACTCTTTCTCGTATGTGCTGAGTCCTAAGCATAGAAAGTTCTTTGTACGTACAGTAATCATTTATGATTGTTATCTTGCCTTGAATTCCGCAGAAACCCCAGCCACAGTAGCTCTGGCCAGTACTCCAGCAGTAGCAGTCTTCCCGAGACCTGCGCGAGCGGGGACACCCTCACCGCGGAGACGGCGGGGACCACGCCCAAGGCTCCGGTGCGCAGGGTAGGTGCTGACCGGCTGCTGCTGACAGTCTGCAGACAGCAACACGACATTGTGAGAATTATGAGTGTTTGTTATCATCGGTGGTGCTTCTCGGCTGGCTCGACTGGTGATCTGCACTGGTTCATGCACCAAGGCTCACCATGTTCATGGTTTCTGTCTATCTAGTAGTGACAAGAGGACTAAGTTCACTAATCCTGCCTTACCAGTGGTGGTGTTATAACTACAAGTTCATGTGTAATGTGAAATAAGCGGGTTGCAAGCTCACAGGAGGATGTGCAATAAAGATGGTGTTAACACAATATTTTTTGTCTTTTCCTATTCCTAAATTTTCATTTTTGTGGTAGAAATTGCACGTTTTTTGGCACAAAATTAATGTACACTCTAGTGTAATATTATACTAAAAACCATTACTGGCACTTTTTTTTAATACAGTGAACATTAATAATATTGACAGTACCATTTGAACATTGGATGTGTACCTGAAAGACATTTTTTAGTATCATAATCATTTTATTGATACAGTACTTCATAAGGTGCACAGCCCCGCTATGCCTCCACAATACATACTATATAGAGAGCGTAGCAAATTCTCTGGTGGCTGCGCATAAAAACAACACCATGTAAAAACTCAAAATATCATCCTGTCTCCCGCATACAGAAGCATAAGGAGGCAAACCAGCAGAGAAGAGTGGACGACACCAGAATCGACGCAGACGACGTCGTCAACCAGATTCTGCAGTCACAGGACTTCAGCGCTGACATGAGCACGGAAGGTACGTGAACCCACCGCACTTATCGAAAAGATTAGGGGACCTTCCCGGCGTGAGTGGTTCAAACCTTACAGTCCTATAGCTGCACCTGGGGTCGTATTGAAGTCACCTGAGTTAGCGCAGAATGTCCAGACCCTTGCAATTAAACTCCAATAATTGTAAGCTCCACAATTCAGCCCTTGGCTGTGAAAAGAGAATAGCTGGCCCAACCACTACAATGGACGACAGCGTAGCGGCTCCACCTATCAGATCAGATCAGTACTGCATCTGTTCCTGCACATAGGCTGTGATGCCAGCATTTCTTTTTCTTCTTCCCCACTATAAAATGTTCACATTTATAGTCTGTATCATCTGAAGGTGTGCGGGTGACAGCTTACTAGCTGCACCTATCAGATGCTATCAGTACTGCATCTGTTCCTTCACACAGGCTGTAATACCAGCATTTCTTTTTCTTCTTCCTCACTATAAAATGTTCACATATTTAGCATAACACTTTGTGGCAGGCTAGATAAAAGTTCTAAACAGGAACTATGCGGCTCCAGATGTCTTACTGAGAGATGGCGGCAGTGTGCTAGATGTCGGTTAGCTTGAGGAATTAATAATATATCAGCTATATATCAGCTTTTGACTTTATTAAACATTTTCACAGATGATGAAGGTTTGAGACTGTTTGTGGCCAAGGATGGGACAACAGCTCTGAGCAGCCACGAACTCAAGAACAGGTGGGGATACCATTATATCTGTTTTTTTTGTTCTCACTCATACATTTGTATGATTGATAGATGGGGATAAAGTATTGGGGCATTTATGTCGGTGAAGGTTAGACATCCAGGTAATAAGATGTGCCAAAAAACAGTTACTGAAGCAACTGGATATGATTTTGGAAACGGTCAGACGTTTCAGGTAGCATCCACTACCTTTCGTCAGTGACACTGGACAGTTGTTAGAAAGGCAGGTTTATAAGTACGAACTATTGATTGATCAAAAAACTCTCCAGTGTCACTGACGAAAGCTAGTGGATGCTACCTGAAACATCTGACCGTTTCCAAAATCATATCCAGTTGCTTGTTGGGTTATTTTTTTTGTTGCAATTTTTGGCATATTGGGAAATATTCACTTTGGAGTCCCTTCTGTATTTTGAGTTTACCTAAACCTCTGGGTATAGTAGTAGTAGGTACACAGCACTAGCTCCACCTATCAGATTCTATCAGTACTGCAGATGTCAATGCCATGTTTTTCCCTCTACCATCCACAGGATATCGGCCGGAGCATTTGAAGCAGTTATCTTCGAGAACAGATAGTTTCCCGGCAGGTTTGAAGACTACAGAGGGTCAAGACAAGCAGGCTACAGAAGGAGAATAGTTTTCTGTCATACTTCTGACTCCTACATTCACACAGCAGAAAGGAAAAATGCAAATGAAGAATCTCTAAAGCAAAGGATCATGATGGGAGATATGTAAAGTGGCTGTGCCATTGAAAATGAGAAGTTACATTTGAGAGATGAGATATTGATTTGACAAGTTGGTATATTTTGATAAGTGTGTAAAAATGAAATGAATCCATTGTGAGGTTTGTACAATAGAAGCTTGGAAGAATGCATTGTTGTATGTAAGTACGTTCACTGTGGAAAAGGAAGTAAGGAACTTTGCAAAATGTATTGAGGGAAGAAGGATTGTTTTCGTGCCAGATGATTTTCTTTTCAAGGTGCCCGTCGTTTATAAACTGCTTGATCATGTATAATAGCCCTGCCAACATTGTAACATGCCAAGTTGTAATAGTTTACTAATACGGCATATTTTAGTATGGAAACAGTGTATATAATAATGACATTCAAGATTAGGACTTACAAGAACTTGTTTAATGAGGAAACAAGGATGCTCATTTGTAAAACTAAACCTTGCTGTGACTGATGTATGTGGCATATTTTAGATAGAAGCTTCAGATCCATTCTGTAGTAGAGTGTTGTTGCCAACATTAGATAGTAACTGTTATATAATATGATGAGAACACATAGTACACTACTAGTATGGGCTATTCTAATGTAGTCTCTTGGTTCTCCTTGGTTTTAAGGTTGCTGAATGGCTTTACCAGTAGAAAACTGCAAACCTTCAGGCCTAGACAGTTAAAGTGGTTGCTTGTGGGATGTTTTCTATATAGCTGTCTCATGTTTTGTTACTATTATTAGACTGGCTGCCATCCTTCCTAGGATTTGGCTACTTAAACAATGTGTAGCAACAAGTAGAGTTGGCAAAACCTAGTGAGGATGGTACCCAGAAAAATTTACTGACAAAAACACAGAAACCAGGGACTGAGTCCAGGTTGGTTTTATTGTAGTTTTCAGCAATGTATTACAATAAGTTGTGTTTTATTTGATTCATTATGTTTGGTTTCTGATTCGGTTCAAAACTTAAAACGGTTGTAGCACAATTACATGTATGAACTTTCTTATTTTGTGTGTTTGTTTTGCCCTTTTTTGTTGGGTTTAGCACGAGAACCAAGAACTACATTGGTTTGGCCTTAGCCAACTTCTCAATCAACCTTCCTGCATCAAGCTACGATTCGTTGTTGCAGTACTACAAAACTAACATGTGGAAAAAAAACAACTTTGATAGTCTCACCACTACTACATGATAAAACATAATCAACTGAAACTTGAAGCATTTTATAAAAGAAGTACAGTGTGTACAAGTGTGTTCTAATCAGGAATTATTACTGGATGTTAGTAACTCATTTTGGGAGTAGAATTTGTAACTCAGTGTTTGTAATATTTTATATTTCCTTCTTACAATCGGATGCTTTTTCGGTGGAAGTTTTTATAACCTACAGAACTTCCCGACAACGATTATACTTCCTCAACATGTTGTATACATTAAATATATATACTGAATCAATACTGTAAATGACTGAAGATAACAGTGTGCTAGCCACATTGTACTGGAGTGAAGATGACTGTTAATTTGTGTCCGATGATGATATTGTAATTATGGTACTAATGTATGTATTAATCATGATATAGTGAAGGTAGAAGATTGGGCCCGTTTTGTGTGACACGTTACAATATGTCTACCCGCTGGCTGGGGGTTTGTATTGAGTGCTGCACAAATCTTGTTTGCCATAAGAAGTTTAAAAGAAGACGTGTTTAAAGTTAAAACTTTTGGTCCAACACAAATAAGTTTTCTGACCTAGAGCTTTTGACCAGTCCCTCTGGTCTTCCTCAGTAGACTGACCCAGTGAAGCTTGTCACGTGGCTTCTTTGAAGTGTGACGTCAA